GAGATATTATAGTGCTCAAGTGTACGCGCAGACGCAACGTGCACTCTCTATTCCTGTCACTCTCATATTCCGGTGGGACGACCACTCGACACGACCGGTGAGAGTTAAGGCGCAGGACCGACGGCTTTACGTGCTCTCCGAGGCACGGGGGTGAAACACCGCCAACTTCCCAACTCCGGGCTGTTACTGAGACTTACTATACAGGAAGACTCAATAACTAAACTTGGCCCGACCCGGGACTCGAACCCAGGACCTCCGGGTGTGCAGCCGTACATGCTAGCCACTACACCACCGAGGCAGTGAAACTAAATATAACGAAGTTAATACAATAGAATAAAATAACAAAGACTTTTGCACTAAGTCTTTTATAAGTTTCCAATGAATTTCTACACTGGGTGTGGTGTAATTAGTGTGACTAGCAGTGTGTACTAGAAATCACAGGTTCGATTCCTGAATTAAGTTATTCTTATTGACGATATCAAAAGTTTGCCTCCATCTGATGAAGATAAAGGTCGATAATAGAGTCAATATTAGTTACAGCGAGAATTCCTGCTTGCTAAGAGTCACAAGATACAGAAGTTTAAAGTTAAGGAACACGAAAGGATAACGACTCGAACTGTACGAACCTCAAAATGCCATCATCGAGTTCCATGGTAATGTACGAGGTTTGTATTATGGATACCAGATAGTTGATACACTACATATATATATCTTTAAACGCATACATATTATAAATATTATAACACCCATGACTGGAGAAAAAATATTCGTCGTCATCGCACAAATGAATGCCCCCATCGGGACTCGAATCCGTGACCGCTGGCATAGCAAATAGGGTCACTACACACAGCCAAACGTTTCGTCAAAAGAAACTAACACTGTATAAAACGATTATACTTTTTACTTGAATATGCTATATAGAATTTAATATGATTATTATAATAATGTCAGTTCTCTTAGTTCATCGTTCTCATATGCCTATTTATTAATGAAAATATCTACACAGCATAGCGGCTTCCATAGTAGGTAACACGTTTTTACCAATAATACGAGTACAATGATCTTGTTTTATTTAATCGTAAATAAGGTATGTCGATGGCTTGGCGTCGTAAATTACCTGTCCCGTGCGAATTGCTTCTCGACTCTAATAAATATCAATCAATAGGCATGTATATGTATACTACGATAATAGAAATGTTATCTTTTACTTATAACATTATAATATTTACCTTAAAAATGGCAATATTTTAATATATACTCACACATATATAAATACACACACTCTGTTAAAAAATATGTACAGACCTCCTTCTTGGAAGTCGGTTAAAAATATTATAATAAACTCTATTATTTTGTACGGCGCCAAAGCCCATCTAAATTTTTGTCTACCGATCTGTCTATATGCTTGTACCTACTATCTTATGATCTTGGAAAGGCTAAAGCTTTTATATGAAAAGAAAGAAGTTTCCACACAAAGGTTATTATTATTAAAACGGGATATTTTTGGCGAGCAAAGACGGAAAATATGTGTATTTTTTTATCTTGAAGTAAAATAAAAAGTACAAGGACGCAAATTTTATGAGTCAAGTATATTTTCTTGAAACGATAAGTAGTGACTAAGGCTTGGTGAGTCGGTACCTTATTTATTTATTTATGCTTCCATTTCGAAGTACCGTAATATACTTACCACCAAATGCGTGTTCTGGAAAATAGTCTTGCCTTGCTCTACTAGTATCGGTCTCGTATCGTCACTGACAGGTGTATTGTCTCTAATAGACTTCTTAAAGTGTTGAGTACGTGGTTAACGTTAAAGTGTGTTTGTTTGTTTGTCCTTCTTTCACGTCGAAACGGATTGACAGATTGGCGTGATTTTTTGTATGGAGATAGTTGGATGGCTGGAGAGTAACATAGGCTACTTTTTATCGCGAAGATTATCTCATTGCCACGGGAAAACACGTTATAATTCAACCCAAAAAATATTTATTATCAGAATTACTTGAAACTTAGTATTAATGCTCTTCAATGCAATTAAATAGATACGTCTTTAAGCATTTTTCGAAATTCATCCCGTAAGGGGGTAAAATAGGGGAAGAAAGTTTGTATGAAACCTATATTTTTACTTCTTTTTGTAGTTTTAGCGCGAGCGAAGCCACGGGAATTTGAAAAAATATTCAAATATTGAATATTTACTAATTAATATTACTTATTATTAAAAGCATTTAATATGAAATTTTATCCGGTCTAACTTATTAGCGTGTCCATATAATCCGATCACAAAGAAGTTGTAAGGTACAGAAATTCAAGTTACACAATACAATAACATATACAAGAGAAATTACACATGAGCCTCTTGAGCGTTGGATTACAGAAATAAACAAACAAACAAATTAAAACAAAAAAAACTTCTAGAACTACTTCTAAAAATAATAACGAACAAAAATAAATGAATAAGAAACCAATACTCATAATGGTTTTAAATTGGAAAATAAATCTAAATTATTTCTCACGTTACGTAAGAAAACTATAGGCTATAAAAAATCACTACAAGTTATAATTATGGTTGTGTTAGTTTATGAGTAAGTTATTATTAAATGAAACTCGGTTAAGTGTGAATTGGACTCGCGCAACTCGGGTTTCGTACCACGACATATGTAAAATTCTTATACTCTTTTATTACTATATATAATACTAGCGGACCCGACAGACGTTGTCCTGTCTACACGTCTTTAATTTGAAAATTTCAAACTTTTTTAATAATTTTTTTGATGAAAATTATTATTCAAATTGTGAATCTAAACCATTCCCAGATCCCCTTGAACACACACAAAAAATTTCATCAAAATCAGTCCAGTCGTTTGAGAGAAGTTCAGTGACATACACACTCACAGAAGAATTATATATATAAAGAGTTACTATACATATATATTTATTAATTATTTCTACTGCCTCAGTGCTGTAACCAAGTAGCTAGCATGCACGGCTGCATATTTGGAAGTCTTAGGTTCAATTCCGGTTGGGCCAATTTAATTATTGAGTCTTTCTTTTAAGCAAGTCCTATTAACAGTCTGGAGTTGGATAGTTGACAGTGTTTCAACCCCGTGCCTCGGAAAGCACGTCGGTCCTTTGCCTGATACCTCACCGGTCAGGTCAAAATACCGCCCCATCGGAATTTGAGAGTGAATGGTATAGAGAGCGCACTATTATCTGCGCTTACACTTGTGCACTATAATACCTCATGGCGAAGTTGTCTCTGTGAGATTGGCCGCCATGGTCGAAATCGTTCAGGAGGACATCATACTCGTATTTGTCAACAAAATGGGAGTTTATATTAAAAAGAAAAATTGTTTGAAAAACCTAGCACGATTCCTACCTGGCTTATAGATTATTTTTGTTTTATGCTTAGAAGTTTGCATTTTAACCACATCAAGTTTGACGTTATGTATGTTTTATGTTTAGTTATAGTGTAAATATTAAAAATAATCTAAAAAAATATTATTTACGATATAACATATTGATATTAGTATGTATTTTTCTTTATTAGCACTGTGAGCTGTTTTATCCAAACTTTATTATTCTAAGTGAATAGAAAGTACTCTATTGGTTTTGATAAACGAGTTGGCGAATGCCGTATCGTATGTTTTAATTGCATCAATTTAGAAGCTTAATAATGTTACAGTTTTAAGGAACCTTAAACCTTATTTGATTAAGCCTTTTCAGAGAAAATATCAACTTTCAGACAGACAAATAAACGTACAAAAAGGTGGTTCTATATGAGTTTCATTTATTCCTCGTGAAGTTCGAAACCCAAATAGTAGTAATAAAAATTATCGCTACTGTTAAATTACGGCTATTCTAATTGCTTTCAAGTCATTAGGCTATGAGTGCAGCGGATTACGCGGTCTCGTACTTTTCGCAAACAAAATTATAACATTAGTGGGCTCTATGATTTTCCATATCGGATTTTAGTTTTATATATCTTGAAGTTTATATATCATATCCATATATTATGATAATACTCATGTATAGCTTGATAGTTTTACACGACATATTTCCAAAATGTCATAATTTGAGAAAAAAAATATAGATATTCAAATAAACTCTCTGAGGCGTAGAAAAGGTTTTGTAAAATTAACATAGGAAAACAAAATATTATTTTAATCATACGATTCAACAAAGTAGCCTAATTTCGTAAGAAGAGCACTCAAACAAATATTGACCTGAAAAGTAAAAGAGTTTGATTTCTTATTTTAAATTTTTTAACAGCATTTAAAACTGAAACGACCTAGATAGAAGCTAAGTTTTAACAAACTCGGCAAAAATAAAACCCTCATAAAGAACAATGCAAAACAAAAGCGGCTTAAGCGGTCTCGTCCTTGCATTAATACTTACCGCATTTATGATAAAGTCAAAAGAGATAATAAAAAATTAGAAATAGTTTATATGGAAATAAAATAATCTCTAGCATGTTTAGTCAGAAAAATATTACTGTTGATAAACTTTTGAAGTGTTTTTTGTTATATAGCATTCATTACTTGCTTCTGTTCTGAAGGTCCTTGGTTTAGTGATGGGTCAGGCCATTTATATTATTTTTTTCTTTTAAAACTTCTCAAGTCCAGAGTTGGAAGGTGGCGGTGTTAAGCGCCTCGTGCCATAATAATAATAATAATAATAATGAATATGTTGGGACATTAAGACACAGCGCCATCTAGTTCCGTGGTAAGCTACGAGGCTTGTGTTATGGATACCAGACAGTTGATACACTACACATATATAACTTTAAATACATACATATTATAAATATAAACACCCATGACTAGAGTACAAACATTCGTGCTCATCACACAAATGAATGCTCCCAGCGGGACTCGAACCCGCGACCGCTGGCACAGCAAGTAGGGTCACTACAAACTGAGCCAAACATGTCGTCAATGTAGGCACTAGACGTCATGCTCTTGATCTTTTCCCGGTTGTGTCGAATTGTCACCCCACAGGTCTATAACATGGAAAAAAAAGAGAAAGTGGTGGTGGTGCTGGTGGTGGTGCTGGTGTTGGCGCATAAACTTGTGCATATAATATTTTCCGTGCAAATGGATAGGCTCAGTGAGATTGGCTGCTATGGCCGACATCGGTCAGAAGTAAGGTTTATTTAGTAATATCTACCAATATGCTGTGCCTGATTAAAATCTGTTCTATTAATAAAAACAAACACTTCTAGTATACAGTAAAAAGTATAGGATTATTAGAAAACATTTTTGTAGCCGTGTAACAGGACTGCTCTATATCCGGTTCGGATCCGGTCCCCACGTTCATTATCGGACAAAGTTGACATGAACTACTTGTTCACAGTGCATTGGAGTTTACTGTAGGAACTACATACGCTGATATTAAAAGTTTCGTACTTATTGTCGTCATAGAAAAGTTGCTCAGTAGTATATATTTTCTATATTACTGGCCTTATCTTTAATAATGTGTGCTTACGTAATTAGTTTTAAAATCTAAATGTATATAAGATTTGATCAGACTTGGAAACAGTTAAGCTATTTAGATTTTTAGCTTGAACTTTATTTTGAATTATTTCACAGTTTCATTATTTAACCTCTTTAGCATTACCATTATTTTTGTGTTTATATGTTACATGATATATATTAACGCATGATTACAAATTTTAAAATCGAAAAAGATCGGCTGGATTTTTTTCAGCAAGAAAAAAATTATTATCAGGTCACTCACTTTCTGTTATCTTTTTGTTAATTCGTTTAATTTTTCATTAAAAAAAAACTATACTATTATAATCTATAAAATTATATCTATGAAAGCAGTAAGATGAGTTTTCTTCCACAACATTATCGTTTTAAATTTATTAAAACTAGCAAAATCTTTATAGAATAAATTGTTGTTCATATTTATCTGTAGTGCAACATAAGATAGACACCCGTCCTTAGACCGCAATGTTTTATTCATAATTCCATCGCGAGGAGTGGTAGAGTGAAACTCATTACTTAAAACGTTTATGTGTTTAAGTCAATAGTTTTTTAAACTAAAAGCTTGCTTTTACTTTTCATAAATACAACCAAATATAGAATAACTAGCGATTCCTTATGACGGTCAGTATGGAATACATAGACTTTAAAGTCTATGTATATATATACATATATATTCTACTTATACTACATGGGTATGATGAGTTTTATATCCTTTACTTGAGAAATGATTGATTTCCCATACAAAGTTCCACCTCTCTTTTCACCTCCTTAATGGACTATTTCCGGGGTAAAAACTATACTGTGTCCTTCATAGGGTCTAAAAGTATCTCCATACCAAATTTCGTCTAAATCAGTTCACCGGATTAAGCGTGAAAAGGTATCAGACAGACAAAGTTGCATTCGCATTTATATATTAGTATGGCTAGTATATTTGTTTTTAAGTAGGTATAAAGCGATATAGGAAGAAAAAATTATAACAGAGAAAAGAAATTAATTCGTATTTTAGCAGTCGAAAGTATCACGAAACTTATCTGAAAATTTTACGTTGAAAAGAAAAATTGTTATTTAGTTTAATGTTTGTGCAACTTCAATACTTTTTACTGATTCTAGGTCATTTTAAGTTGAGTTGAATACCTATTTGCTGACGTATTTTACTTTATTTTTTTTATTCTTAATTATTATATATGTATATATGCGTATCATTATGTATATGTGTGTATAACGTATATATTGTGTTCAAACTAGATGAAAAAATTTAATTCAATAATATTTAATTTTTGAGCGATATAAGTATTACATCAGTACATAATTGGATAATTTCTTCTATGATTAGTAGGAGTCGAATTCACAACCTCTTTACCTCGTTTGCTGCCTATTATCTCATTTTCTGTCATTATACCATAGGGTTATTAAATACAATTTATTAATTCATACTTGTGATTCATTTTTAATCAAAAAGTACTATATATTCTAATGTATATTTTATAGAGCGTAGAAAAACTATTAAGCTGAGTAATAACCTTTTTCGATGCTGCTAAGCCTGCATATGAAAAGCAAAACTAATTTACTGGACCTTTGCTTCTGAAATTAGTTTTTCAATCTTATTTGTACATGATATGTATGCCATCTATACAGATAAATAAAATTGAAGTGTCTGTTTGTAATGTCGACATAACATCATTTTACTAAATGCATATGGAATTCTGTAAGGTATTTGTAAGAAAAACACAATTTTTAATTTTGTTTTGTCTGTCTGTTTGTTCCGACTTATCTCTGAAACGGCTTGGCTGATTTGGACGGGACTTTCACTGGCAGGTAGTTTATGCTATAAGGAGTAACGTAGGCTAGTTTTATTTCAGTAAAAGAATTAGGGTTCCGCTCAAACAAATTAAAATGTACCTAGTAAATAATATAAACTTTCGGCTTAAAATACAATCATAAAATATAAAAAGTGAATATTTATTGTTTATTCTCTTTTCCTAATAATAAAAAAAAAACATCATATTAATATAGCACTGAGAGTAAGTCTCGTGTATCTCATTCCATTATCAACAATAGTTTCTTACCACAGTTCCGTATATATCTAAATATTTACTCATAAACAATATCACTCATATCGTTATTCACACCGATAGATGGCATAAATAAATATACGCAGACGTTTGCCTTACACGATAATGACGTCACAACGACAGGTATTATCCTAACAATTCCGCTCCCATTTACCATCACAAAACACAATATGTATTGTTTATACAAACAATTCGCCACAATACCGATCAATGTATGACTGCGTCTTTTGCTAACATCACACCGCCTTTATCTCAAGCGCGATGAATAAAACATGGAGCATCATGGATCCTTGCCTTCTACATATTGTATTCAAGCATTTTAGCGTGAAGCGTTTCTGTTTTCTGTTAAAATTTTCTCAAATTAAAATATTGATATGTTAGATAATGGGAAAAATATTGATATTGAATAAGTTGAATTGATATTTGCATTTAGGAATTTATATTAAAACTAGCAGAATTTGCGGCTTCGTTCGCGCTAAAACTACAAAAAAAATCTCCTAACCCCTCCACGACCGCGGACACGCCGGCGCGGCGTGTCAGTTAACAATAGATTTCTTAGAATTTTAATTAATTTCTTAGAATTTTATCTGGAGGAGTTAAAAAGTAGATTTCATATAAACTTTCATCCCTTATTTTACCCCTTTATGGGATGAATTTCAAAAAACGCTAAAACATGTATTTATTTAATTGTATTGAAGAGCATTCATAGATACCAAGTTTCAAGTAATTCTGATCATAATTTTTTTTTGGGTTGTAATATAAAATGTTTTCCCGTGGGAATGAAATGATCTCCCGCGGTAAAAAGTGTCACTCTCCAGCACTCCAGCTCTCTTCATACAAAAAAATCACGCCAACCCCTCACTCTGTTTTGACGTGAAAGAAGGACAAACAAACAAAAAAACATACTTTCACATTTATAATATTACTAGCGACTCATCCTCGATTTGCTCGGGTTCGTCCCTAGCTTGCTTCCCAATACAAACTTTCATCCCCATTTTCACCCCTTTAAGGGATGATTTCCAGGATAAAAAGTATCCTATATCCTTCCCAGGGTCTCAAAATATTTTCTTACCAAATTTCGTCTAAATCAGTTCAGTAGATCCAGAGATAACCCCCTACAACGTCACAAACTAACAAAATTTACCTCTTTATAATAATGGTATGGATATTAAAATGAATGCTTTGACAATAGGACAGCTAACTTATTTATCTTATTGATATTTATTTTAAATAATCATACATAATGCAACTTTTCTTTTATTTTAAGTACTCATTTTATATTCAACTTACAAGCTATGAGAGCTACATCAGGAAAAACTGATGTATACAGATCGAACTTCCTAATCATAATTTCAGCACTAAAGGCAGATAACCGTCGATTTAGTGGCAGTCAGTTCAACAGATTTTGCAAAGCTCACAATAAAGTTACAGGGGACGCGGGGAGAGATTAAAAATCGAGCGAGTTCCAGACACAATGAAAATGTTTTTTCACAGGCCCCTTTCAGGCGCGCGCTTTGTGAAACGAAGTTCGCAGTTTTTCTCTCTATACGCTTCATCGCGATTTTCTCTAGGGAGGAAATATTGCGTAATGAATATTCCGCTCTGATTTCAGTTACAAATGACTGATATGTTCAGATGCACACGTCGATACTTCAACTGCAATAATTTGGCCAATCACGGCTTTTGAGAGCTCGCGCCCGTCAGATCATATAACGGCGGTGATTTTTGTATCGATACAGTCGGAATATAGATCAGAAGTTTTTTTTTATTGGGATACAATCAAAATGTTTTAAACATACATAAATAAAAAATTTTTTACATAATAATTATTTCCAACAACATAAAATATGTATTTATCTGTGTTTAAATCGCCAGTTTTACATAAATCAATAATAAAGCAACATAACTACTTTTAGAAAAGATTTTGTCTGAAGTTGATAGGTGAAGTTTAAATTAACGAGAGGAAAATATTTAAAACTAGTATTGCCCGCGGCTCCGCCCGCGTTTAGATGACCAAAAACCAAATTCCTAGGTTTTATATATTAGTATACTCTTACATTGTAGTTTTTGTATGTTTTCTAAAAAATGAGATATATTCCCGCGGTAAAAAGTCATGTTGTATAAAGTATGTTGACCCGGATAACCAGCTATCATCATACCAAATTTCATCAAAATCTACCCAGTGGTTTTCTCGTGATGCGGTAACAGATAGACAGACAGATAAAAATTCTACAAACTATAGAATCGGCCTCTGTATCGATAATAATGTCTATTTCAATAAGATTTTCAAAAAAATGTTTCATGTACAGATTCGGCTCAGTTAGAATTTTATTATATGTATAGATGTCATACTCCGTTAAACGCACCCATTTTAAGGTGCTAGCTCTTGCTTGCTACACAACGGTCTGTATACGAAAACACTTAAGAGTATTAGTTTTTCAGTGACTGTTTGACGTCTTATTTCCAAATAATTTTCAGTCTATATACGTCGATGGATAAAAAATTGAAAGCAACAAAGTACCTACTTGTTTATTCTATTATTGACTGAAGTATGACGACTGTATGAAGCACTTATATTTTCGAATATCCAAACAAAAATTCTGGTTGTAGTACGAGTAAAGATCTATCATATTGGATTTGCCTTTGACTCATTCTTATTAAACTGAAACATCGTATCTTTCTATTATAACAAACTAGCATTGCTCACGGTTGCGCTCGCGTTCAGATGACCAAATATTAAATTCTTAGGTTTTACATATTAGTATACTCTTACATTGCAGTTTTTGCATTTTTTCTCAGAAATGAGAC